TGCAGTGAAACATACCATATGAAGACAAATCAGATCAACAGCCTGGCCGCGCCCTGAGCCAAACGTGGATACGGAGAAGGAGGGGGAGGACAAAAAGGAGGAGGAGGAGGAGGAGAAGGAACAAGAGGAGGAAGAGGCAGATGAGGGGAAAGAAGCAGAGCAGAAGGAGGAGGCAGAGGAGGAGGAGGAGGAGGAGGCAGAAGAGGGAAAATAGGCAGCGGCGGAGGAGGAGGACGAGGAGGAGGGGAAATAAACAGAGGAGGAGGAGGAAGAGGAAGAGGAGGAGGAGGAGAAGGAGGATGAGGAGGAGGCGGAGGAGCAGGAGGAGCAGGAGGAGGAGTTAAAGTAGCCTGAAAGGGACGAGACGAGGGCAAGCGGGCAAGACACGAGAGGAAGGCTATTGAATGATGTCTCTCCACGCGCCCCGGCTGTGCACCTAGCTCATCGCCACCGCAGTGCTGCGGCCACCGCTTCAGCACTGCGTGCTGGCGATGGCGCTACAAGCTACTTCATTTTGTTATACAAATGGAAGGCCAGCGCTACCGTGCGAATCGTCTGGCGCAACGAGAGGTCGCGCTCAGGCTCGGACGGGCACGCAGCAGCGGGGCCCAAGCCCCAAGGCGCAAGTGTCTGAGAAGCGGGGGAGCGTCGGGGGACCAGAGGAGGCTCAAGAGGACGGAGCTGGGAGACCGAGTCAGGTGCATTCGGGCGCCCGAATACGCATGGCTTCGGGGCGAGCACATGCATGCAGCGAGTGGCGGTCCACCCGCCACTAAGCGTATTGAAGACCGCCCAACGCCAACGGGGGCGGACACTTGCGAGGGCAATCGTGAGAGCGGACCAGCGCCTGGTGAGCTCAGACGGCGGCGGTTGCTGCATGCCCCGCGAAACGATGCCCTTTTGAAGAGCGCGCGCGCGACCGCGAGCTCCGCCTTTGGGCGGCGAAGCGGATCGGCGGCAGCAGCCTCACGAATTTCCTGCGCGGCGGCGCGGTTCGCGACGGCCACGGCAGCAGCAGGAAACTGGGCGGCACGCTGGCCACGGGACAAAACATGGTAGAACTGCACGATGGACACAAGCTCTTCCCAGAAGGGAAGGGGCCAGTGACCCGCGACCCGCCGGCGGTGGGCGCGCGCCGTGCCCCCCCCCAGGAGCGAAATTGGAGGCGCGCGTGGAATGGCTCCCAGTCGCCGCGCAGCGTGGAAGAGACCGAAAGAATTGCAGAGCCAGCGGCAGTAACTTGGGCAGAACGTGGGACAGACGGCGGACTCCATTCGGCCATCGCGATAAGGTCTACTTTGCGAATAGAGTTCGGCGGCATGCTGAGCACGCTGTGAAGAATATTCTATTCTCGGCGGGCAATCTTCGGGCCAGGCGGGAAACAACTGGGCGACAGGACTGAGCGTGGATAGGACAAACGTGTTATAGAGGCGCACTGTGGCGTGGCTGTCACTCTGCACTAAATTGAAATGTTCGCCGCGCCGCCACCACTTTTGCCCTGGGGCGAGCCATTGCGAAGCAAGGGGGGTCGAGGGTCCAAGGAGGGCCCCGAGGTACTTGGCTCGGCCAAATACCGAAAAGCCACCTCGGGCGGGACAAAGATCGGCCAGGGGCGCTTTCGTTAGGGCCGCGGTGGCAGGTGCGCGAGGTGCCCAGAGTGGGACAACAACGCATTTGCGGGGCATGAGAGAGAGGAGCGCGAGCTCCCTGGCAGCGGCGAATGGCTCAGAGGCACGGCGCAGCGTGCTGAACGATGACGCGAGCAGGCCCGCGTCATCGGCGCAGCATCCCAGATAGCCCTTGTCGTAGCCGGGTGCGCCGCCAACGCGCTCGACGAAAGAGGCGATGTGGCGGGCGAGCGGGTCCATCGCGATAGGCCATGCCGACCCGCTGGCAGGGCATTCCCAAGACAAGCCAAACTCAATCGCGAACGCGAAGTGGCGAGAGCCATCGACCTTGACGAAGCTGTCCGGCGCATAGCACAGGTTGCGGAAGAGGCTGAGGAGGCCAGCAAGGACCCCGAAGAGCTCCAGCGCGGCGAAGAGCCAGACCCGTCCAAGCGACGGAATAGCCGCGGCGAAATCGAAGCTGGCGAAGACGGGCTTGTACAGCTCGGCGTCGGGACGGACCCTAGCGCGGCGTATCTCGGCGTCGAAGCGCGCGATGTGATTGGCGAAATTGCGGCCGACGACGAACCTTTGCCGCGCCTTGTGAGTCCGCTCTGCCGCAGCGGCATTGAAGGGGAAGTTGGCAGCCCCAGCGATGGCTTTGATGCTCGTGTTCTTCAGGGATGGCGGGCGCGTGCCCTCGGGGGCGCGGTCCGTCGAGGGCTCGCCCGCGAGGTTGCCGCCCGTCGGGAAGAGCCCAAAGTTGGAGTCGTTGCGGTCGCGGACGAGGTCTTCGTTGGCGCGGAGGTGGAAAGAGACCCTCCAGGGGCCAGGGGCTGATGGCGAGGCGCATGACAAGAAGGCGCGGGTCTGGCCATTCGCCGGCGAGCCCACGTCGATGATGGGGCCCCGCGGCACGCGCTCGGAGCGCACTGCTTGACCTCCGATTCGCTAACACCCCCGCGCATGAAGACGGGCCGCCAGTGCTCGCGGAGGGCGGTCACCATTGAGCGGCTCTCTCTGGCAACCCCGCGAGGGCCCTGAGGGCCGATGATTTTGATCCCCTGGAGGACCAGACGGCGCTTCCAGGCCCCGCAAGAGGGCCCTGCGTTGCGAGGACGGGAGGGGCCGACGGAGTTCCTCGGGCGCGATGACCCCTAGCGCCCCCTGCGGGAGCTGGGCGGATCGCTGCGCCGGGGAGCGCTGCCTTTCCTCGAAGTCGCGACGCAGCGCGGCGGACTTGAGAGCAAACTCGGACGCGCTCGCGAGCGCGATGAGGCCGTCGGTGAGCGAGAGGTACCTGGCGCCAAGCTTAGCGGTGGACTGAAGGCGGCGAGCGAGCACGGGGCCCTGGCGCCAGATCGCCCCCGAGATCGAGCGCGCTGCAATCACCTGGCCGTCGGCAAAGTTGGACCCCCCGATTTCTCCAGCTGGGCGGCTGACCGAGTCGTCGCGCGCGAGCTTGACGGCTTCAATCATCAATCGCTTGCGCGTGCGCCAGCGGCTCTCGATCGGCTTGGAGGACGTGTCGGCGCGGAAGATGGCGGGCGCGATCGCCTGTTCCTCGCTCGGCGTCCGCGGCTTGATACCGATGGCAAATGAGATGGTGGCATGGTCGCTGAAGAGGTTCTCGGAGAGAATGGAAGGGTCGTGGACGATAGCAACGTGCGCTGAGATCTCGGACATGGCATGCGACGGCAGGCTGATGAATATGCGGTCGATGGCGGATGCGGTGAAGCCAGACTTGAAGAGAGTCGGGAGGTCGGACTCGACTTCGAGCATCGAGTCGAAGAGGCCTTTGCAGAATGGCTGCTGCTGGCGTGCGTTGTTATCAAGAGCTAGACGAGCACGCTGTGGTTGCGGCTGAAGAACACTGTCCGGCGGGCGGCGAGGCTGTGTTGAAGTCGCCCATGGCGACGAAGGTACGGTGCTGGTAGTCGGCCTCAGCCCAGACGCGGTGCAGGTGTCAGGCGCGTTGAATGCGGTCGCGGCCTCCGGCGTCGATCTCGCGGTTGTGGACATTCATGACGACGACCGATTTGCGTGTGACAGCGTCGGTAATGGCGACGGACTGGACGCGACCCTGAAGGATCTCCTCGCGGCTGAAGATCGCGAGCTGGGACGGCAGGAACTGCTCGTGCTGCGCGCGGGAGAGCCAGGGGATGAGCGTCACAGCGCCGCCAGTGCCAGGGCGCGCGTCGCCAGAGTCGCTGGCCACGAATTCGGAGAAGAGGAGCGTGTACGGGCATGGCTGCGCGTCGACCCACGCACGGAGCAAAGCCTCCGAATCGTGGACCTCCTGGAGCAGGATGACGCAGCGACGCCTCATGTACTTCGCCATTGCAGCCTGCTTGCGCCGACGGTGCTTCCGCTAGTGGCACATGAGCGCCCTTGCGCCCCGCGTGATGAAGGCAGCCAAGGCGACTAGTGGTGGCTATGCGCGCTGCGCGGCTGCGGCTGTGTCCACAAAGAGCGCCTGGAACGAAGTGAGGATGCTGCCGCGGTCGGGGTCGCTGAAAATGTCGCGCTCGAGCGCGTTCTCGTTCCTCTCGAGGATGGCCGGATCAGCCTGGCCCTTCACCTCGAGGCGGACGATGGGCATGGCATTGCTGTGGATCTCCACTTTGGAGCGGATGGCCCCCCGGAAAACACTGGGGTAGCGCTGCTGGGGAATTGGCACAGCTTCTTGCTATGGATCTCGATGTGGATCTGCTTCGGCGACATGTCTGGAATGAGGTAGATGTCGACGCGAGCGCCAGTCACGCCCGTGGATTCAAACCGTTTCCACTTGCCAGCGGGGTCGCGCAAGGCATGTTTGAGAGCAAGAGCGCGAGGAATGGCGATGGCGTCGTCGCCATTGACTTGCAGGAGGAAGTGCCCGGCGGGTTCACCCCCGCGACGTTCGACGGCACCGCGCGGCGAGTTGGCGGAGACGGTCCACTCCTGCAGATCGTGGAGCAAAACATTGGGGGCGACGAGGCGCTGACGGCCGAAAGCGAAGCGGGTCGCGTCAGGAGTGCGGTTCCACTCAGAGAGCTTGGCGAGGTCAGTGATGGGGACCTGCGCCTCCGCGAGCGCCAGCGTGGCGCGCCTGGTCGATGTGCTGCCACATGCGCTGCTGCTCGGCAGCCTGGCGATCTTGCTCTCTGCGCGCGCGGGCGACGACGTCGTGGGGGGCGTCGACGCAGCGCTCTGCGGTTGAAACTTGACGCGCGAGAAGCCGACGGAAGCCTTTGCGGCGCTCGTTGAGGAGCGCGCTGGCCTGAGCTTGGAAGGCGCCGGCAGCGCGTGCAACTGGAGCACGCATAAGCTGTTGGAGCGCGGCGTCGAAGGCAGGATCGAGGGCAGGGAGACGAACTTCAGGAGGCCCAGGCGGCGCGGGGTGAACGACACCTGCATCGTGCGCCACGCGTGGGGAAGCAGGGCCAGCGGAGTCGGCCCTGCTGGCGAGAGCCCCGCCTGCTGCAGGATGACCGCGCCGATGGAGACCTTGACTGTCGGGGGGGCCGTGCTGAACTAATCGAGCGAAGCCTGGAGGCGGCTCCTGGGTGGGGAACCTGGAGAAGTCTCCCAGGTCGGACGCGAGCTTGCACGGGCCGTGGCCATGGAGCTCGTCGAGGACTGCGGCGCGCTGCCAAGGGCCTTGTCCACGAAGAAAGTAGTTTTGAAATCGATTGCCAGACGGGCCCGCAGATGCGGGTCTCGCAGCAGAACGTGCCGATCGATCGGGTCGAGGTGCCGCTCGGCCAGATGAGCGACCGGCAGGGGCAGGGTCAGCACGGTGGGTGGGAGGTCACCTCTCAGCGTCAGCGCGAGGTCGGTGACGGGGGGCGGCCTGCCCACGATCGCGGGGATCGGCGTGGTCACTGAGTCCCTTCCGACGATGACGTCGTTGGGTGACGGGAAACTGCGCGAGGCCGAACGCGCGCGCGAGCTGTTAGCTGCAAGAAGGCGCCGCCGCGATGCGAACTGACCGGGCGTTGCGTGGATGCGCGGGGAGCTCGAATGTCTCAAAGAACGCCGCGAACAAGGTCCGAGGCGGTGCCAGCGCGCTGTGGAAGAACAATAGCATGCAGCACAGATGAAGAAGTCGGTCGGCTGGCTGCTCGGGGCGAGGAACGGCAGCGCGGCGCGCGGGCTCGGAGCGACGCTCGACGAGGCGACATGGATGCTCGGAGCGGTGCTCAACGAGGCAATATGGATGCTCGGCGCAAGGCGTCAAGCGATATGGATGCTCGGCACAAAGCTCGGGGCAGTATGGATGGCGGCCCGCAACGCCAAAAGAAAGAGCAGGAGTGGGCGGCAGCTCGCCCCTGGGCGCGGCTGCAGAGCTGTTGGAACTAGCCGCGGACCAGCGGCATCCACGCTGCGCTCGCGACGGCGCGCCATCTCTAGCCAACATGGCAACGGAAGGAGGAAGGGGGGGAGGAGGAGGACGAGAAGGAGGAGCGAGCGTCGCCTGGGAGGGCGATGGTTCGATCAGCAGCGCCGCGGCGCGCCGGCTCCCCCCGTCAGATCAGCGGGGGCGGGAAAATGGAGAGCACGGCAAGCGGCGGCGATGGCGGTAGTCTGCTTGTTGCAGTTCATGGGCGGCGCGTCGTCCTTCGTGAGGTGGTGCGCCCTGGTGGCCACGCTGAAGCGCGACTGAGTAGGGGGCGCCGCTCTCGCCGTCGAAGGGCTCGCCCAGGTCGGGCAGCGCCATGCGCGCAAGGAGGTTGGCGCTCAGCTGGCCACGCGGCAAGCTCAGCTGGCGCCGCATCCTCTCGCACGCGAGGTAGTGCTGGATGCTGCCGTGGCTCGTCGAGCGCGCGCGCCCGAAGTGGCAGGGGCGCTTGTCATGGATGACGCGCATTCGGTAGCTCGTAGTCCATGCGCCCGTGAGCGCCTTCAGTGCAGCCCGCAGCCTCGCTGGGGGTAGTGTTGCGAGGTAAATGCCTAACCGCTTCCAGCGCGCTGGTAGGTCCTGAGGGACACGCTGTATTTGAAGCAGGTCAGCGGGCCCAGGTACTTCATCTGGAAATGAGCCGATGTCCAAGTTGCACTCGTCGCAGTTGCCCTCGTGGATGTCGATGCGATGCGGCAAAAGGTTAGTGACCCAGCGACGGCGAGCACGATGCTGACCAGCTTCGTCTGCGAACAATGCGGCCTGGCTGCGCTGGTCCGCCTCGTTGTTAGGCACTCTCGTGAGGCGACGCTCGATCAGAATGCTGCCGATGCCAAAGTTGTCCCACGTCTGCTCGCACATAGTGACGGCTGAGCGGCGCCGCTGCGCGTCCGTGGGTGGAGTGCAGGGGGGCGAACAGGTCGGCGCCGAGCAGGTCGCACAGGTACGAGGAGCACCACTTGCCAATGCTTGTCACGTAGCAGCAAGTCGGGGCGCCAATGAGCCGCCCACACTCGAGCACGCGCTAGAAGTCGCTCTCGTGCATGCTCAGCTTCACGACGAGGGCCGTGTTGGCGCCTCGCGGTTGAACTGCATGGCTGGATCCAGCACGGGGAACCAGGCGAGAAGACGGCGCTTGCTGGTGCCAGGCATAGTGTCCGAGTAGAGCTGCCCATGCAGCTTCATCTTGTAGGCTTTCTGGGGCGTGATCTTGGCAGGCTTGCGGCGGAGAGGTCGGTCAGGGTGCCGTTGTTGCTGCTGTGCTTGATGCCGTAGAAGAACAGTTTGTAGGCCTGCACGTACAGCGCGATTGCGAGAGCCAACCATTGCAGCACGAGCTCGAAGGGGAGGACCAGCCGTACGAGTCAAACGTTTAAGATGGGAGCCTTTGCAGTCCACGAAGTACGTTGAGTTGGTGATGTCCTCGAAGCGCTGGACAATAGCGGTTTTGACTTCCCAGCAGTCATTGTACCATTGTCCCTGCACTACAGAGACGATGGGCAGCTGGTTGTAGGCTTCGTCACATGGTTTCCTAGCCACGCTTCCCACTCTGCCACAGTGGTAGAAACGGTTATCCAGAGGGTAGCTGCCAGGTAGTTCTCGATACCGATGGGTACTTCCAAGTTGGTCCAGAGGGACATCGCAAGGATGTCGGATTTGGCGAAGCTGGAGGGGGCGACGCGCAGCAGTTTGTGGATGGCATGCAGCTCTTTCTGGAGGATGCCCTCGGCAGGCTGGAAGAGCTGGCCAACGTGCCCCAGGCAGGTGACCGCGGCGACGTTGTAGAGCTCGATGCATTGCTGGATCGGGGCATGTGACACAGCGAGCTTCTCGACGCGGTCCCACCACTTGACTGCGGGACCACGCCATTGGTCAGCAAATGTGGCTCCAGGGCCGACCCGGAAAACGAGGTAGCGGGCTTGGACTCGATCTTGAAGTTGAGCCAGGGAGAATGAGCCGCGGCTAGTATGAGACGCACTTCGTCGATGCTGTCTGGGGAAGGCAATGCCCATGTGGGGACGACTATGCACTTCTTGGCTTGACGGTGTAGTCCAGCGAGCGTCTCGGCCGCGATCATGTGCGGTGTGATCAAGTTGATGTCACGGAGTCTGGCGAGGATGATGCCGAGATCGTCGGCACAGGCGCTGACGAGGCCGCGCTCGATGGCCTTGAGCTCGGAGCTGATGGTGGTGATGATGGGGTCGAAAACGAGGTCCCATGGTGCCGCTCAATGGGCAACCTTGAGGTGGATGCCCCAGCGCGAGAGCGTGTCCCACATCCACTGGTGGCCGAGACTCGGGAAGGCGGCCGCGATGTCCATGCTGACGAAGACGGGCATGTCTGTCGATGCGGAGGGGGAGGAGGAGGAGGAGGAGGAGGAGGAGGAGGAGGAGGAGGAGGAGGAGGAGGAGGAGGAGGAGGAGGAGGAGGAGGAGAGGAGGAGGAGGAGGAGGAGGAGGAGGAGGAGGAGGAGGAGGAGGGAGGAGGAGGGAGGAAGAGGAGGAGGAGGGAGGGAGGAGGGAGGAGGAGGAGGAGGAGGAGGAGGAGGAGGAGGAGGAGGAGGAGACGGGGGCCGGGGGGTCGGGGAAAGGGCCCCGCCTGCAGGATCCGCCTGGCCGCAGCCGCCACCGGAGGCGCGCTCTTCGTGGCCGTGGGCCGCGAGCCTGGCGGGCTCGCCAAGGGCTGCGCCCGCTCGCCCGCCCGAAAAGCTTGGCGAGGGCCCGCCCGCCCCGCCCGCCTGGCGAGAGGCCGCACGTTCGACTCGCCCGTTGGGGTTCACGAGTCCTCGTGCCCCTCCTACTCCTTCTCCTCCTCCTCCTCCTCCTCCTCCTCCTCCTCCTCCGCCTCCTCCCCCCCTCGCCCACCTCCCCCGCCATCCTTCCTTATACATAACTCCGCCCTGTCGCCCCCCCGGGCCGGTTGAAAGGGCGGGCCGGGCGTTTCGCCTAAAATTCCTCACCACTTACGATCCTGAAGCTTAGAACTTGCAACATCTTCACGGATGGAGGGCGGGCCGTTTGCAAAATGTGGTTTTCGCCCCAGCGCCACGCACACTTGCTTGACAGACTTGCGGACGCTTTTTGGATGGAGGGCGTGCCGTTTGCAAAAAGGGGTTCTCGCCTGAGCGCCGCGCGCGCTCGTCTTACACATTAGCAACCGTTTCACGGATTGAAGTCGCGTAACATATGGAGGGAGGGTGTATTGCGATATCGTGGATGAGTCTTGGGTTTACACATGTCCCCTCCCTCCTCCCCCTCCTCCTCCTCCTCCTCCTTCCCCCTTTCCCTCCTCCTCCTCCTCCTGCTGCATCCCTCGCCTTTATAAGCAACTCCTCCCTGTCGCACCCACAGAAGTGTCGGTGGGTCGGGCCTGGCGTTTCGCATGAGGTTTCCTGGCCATCTGTGATCTTGAAACTTGAAAAGTGCAGCAGTTTCACGGATGGAAGGCGGGCCGCTTGCAACATGCGGCTTTCGCTTCAGCCCCGCGCGCACTCGTTTTAAACAATTTCAGCAAGTTTAAAGATTCTCTTGGTTAACGTCCCGGAAATGGTGTTTGGACTGCGCCCAATCACATTGATTCGCGGTAGTGAAGTCCCAGAAATGGTGCTCTGGCACGATTCGGAGTCGTCGAGGCGCAACAATAAAGATGATTCGCGGTGTTGAAATCCTATGAATGGTGTGCTGGCGCATTTCTAGATTCTCAAACTACTATCTTCCAGCGGTGCAATTCTCTCAATGAGAATGATTTCGAAGAGGGAACTCTGGAGGGGGAGCTTGGAACGACTGTTTACTGCGGTATCGTCGATGAGTATTGGGTTTGCACATTTCCCCCGCCTGCCCCCCTCATCCTCCTCCCCCTCTCACTCCATTTCCCCCTCCTCCTGCATCCCTCTATGTTACAAGTAGATCCTCCCTGCCGCACTCACAGACGCGTCGGTAGTGCGGGCGTGGCGTTTCGCCCATGCTTTCCCCGCCATCGGTGACCCTGAAACTTGACTGTGCAATAGCTTCACGGATGGAGGGCGGGCCGTTTGCAACGTGTGGCTCTCGCCTTAGCGCCGTGCGCACTCATGTTAAACATGCTCAACACCTTCACGGATGGAGGGCGGGTCATTTTCAAAATGTGGCTCTCGCTGCAACCCCGCGCACACTCGTTTTAAACAGTTACACCAGCTTCAAATACGCTCATCATTAATGCCCCAGAACTGGTGTTCGGGTACGGTGTCAGGATGCCAGGGCGCAGCAATCACGCTGATTCGCGGTAGTGAAGTACCAGGAATGGTGTTCTGGCACGATTCAGAATCGTCGATACGCAACAATAAAAATGATTCGCGGTCTTGAATACCTAGGAATGGTGCGCTGGCGCAGTTCTGGATTTTCAAACTACTTTCTTCCAACGGTGCAATTTTCTCAATCTAACTTTTTTCCTACTTTTGTTTCCTGCGACCTCCCCCTGGCGCTATCCTCAGCGCAGTTCCCAGCGCAAGCATCTAGACAACAAATTGCGGCTCTTTTCGGCGCTTT